GACTAAACATCTCAGATGAAGAATTTACTTTAAATGAGAGGACATGAGGCTCCAAGTGCCTCCAAATGTCTGCAGAAAACATAGATAAATTTGAATCTTGAAATACAGAGCTATAATACAGTTTTTCATAATACACACTAATAAAGATCCAAGGAAAATAGAATAAAGGAAAGTTACTATTCTTTAAAGTATGCTGGGGCTGGAGCGATAGCACAGTGGGTAGGGCATTTGCCTTGCACACGGCCGACCCGGGTTCGATTCCCAGCATCCCATATGGTCCCCTTAGCACTGCCAGGAGTAATTCCTGAGTGCATGACCCAGGAGTAACCCCTGTGCATCGCCAGGTGTGACCCAAAAAGCAAAAATAAATAAATAAATAAAGTATGCTACCATAAATAAGAACCAGCAAAATCAACCAGAAGCAGAAATTGACTCTCAGTGAATGTGGATATTCTAATAATCAGATTCAGATAGATCTTCCATATGTATATATATATATATGTATATATATATATGAATTAAAATAAGTAGAAAGGAATCAAAGTGGTCCTTTTGCAGGCAGAGATTTGCACACAACCAACTTGGGTTTGATCCCTTGCACCCCATTACCCTGAGCCTACCAGGGTAATCCCTGAGTGCAGAATCAGGAGTAAGCCCTGAGCACTGCCAGGCATGACCCCGAAACAAAAGTAAGATACTAAAGGCCATATAAGCCTCACAGATATGATAAAATAATAAATACTAGAAATGAATAATTTAATAATGAAAATAAAATTTTGAGATCTGACAAGACTGATACAAGAATAGGGTATTGGTGAACTAGATGTTGGATCTGAAGAAATCATTTTGTTGTAGCAGAGGGACAGATGACATAGAGGAGATTAAGTTGTATGGTGACAAAGGTTGTCATGTTCTGTCTCAGAATTTTAGAAAGAAATGAGGAAAAATACAATAGCAAAGGACTGGAGAAATAATACAGTGCATAAGGGTGATTTCCTTGCACGCAGCCAACCTAGGTTGGATCTCTGGTACCCCATCATGGTACCCTGAGCCCTCAAAGAGTAATCTCTGAGTGCAGAACCAGAAGAAGAACTGAGCACTGCTGGCTATGCCCTGCCCCCTCTCAAATCCTAATGGCAAAGATAAACTGTAGCACTGCACTGTCCTCTCGTTGTTCATCGATTTGCTCCAGCGGGCCCAGTAATGTCTCCATTGTGAGACTTGTTGTTACTGTGTTTGGCGTATCAAATACGTCACGGATAGCTTACCAGGCTTTGCTGTGCGGGCAAGATACTCTCAGTAGCTTGCCCCGGTCTTCGAGAGGGGCGGAGGAATTGAACTTGGGTCCACCAGGTCGGCCGCATGCAAGGCAAATGCCCTACCAGCTGTGCTATCGCTCCAACCCCGATAGTTTAAACATTTAAAACAATTATTTTATTATAGTTTAGGTAAAATAGTTAAAATAAACTTTAACATAGTTTATGCTATAGATAGTCAAAGTTGTTGTGTGCTCCCCAACCCCCAAAGTATCCAAGGTTCTCTATGTCACCCCTCGTCCAATCTTCATTACTCCAATGCTTGGTGAACAATTTTATACCCCAAGTTCAAGGATTTGTCAGTGTTCAATACTATCTATTCTCTTGTTTCATCTGTATATTCCAACAAGTGTGATCATCCTGCTTTTCTCCCTGAACTACTTTGCTTAACGTAATACCTTCCAATTCCATCCAAGTTGCAATTAGCTGCAAAGTTTCATCTTTTCTTATAGCTGCATAGTATTTCACTGATAATTAAAATTTAAAGGCCAAATAATACACAGATGTAGACAATGGTTTATACAAGTACTGGTGAGAAAGGGATAAATTTATTTATTTTTGTTGTTCTTTTGCTTGTTTGTGATTTTTGTTTTGGACCCACATCTGACTGTGCAGAGGGCCATACCTGATCTTGGCTCTATGCTCAAAGATCAGTTCTGTCAGGACATTGGCTACTATATGCAGTGTTAGAGATTAAGTCTGAGCTGTATGGGAAGAAAGCACCTTTACCACTGTTCTAGCTCTCTGGATCCAGTATGAACATGTTAATGAATGATGCTGAGACATCAGCTTTATTTATGGGAAAGAACATGGACCCTTATCTTATTTCATATATAAAAAATGAATCGTGACATCTTATCATCTCATTTCTACTTTGGACAAACTGGCAAGCTACCTGCCCACACAGCAGAGTCTGGCAAACTCCCCGTGGCATACCCTATATGCCAAATACCAGTAACAATGAAGGGTCTCATTCTCCTAACTCTGAAAAAGCCTTGAATATGGCACTTTTTAAAAAATCTCAGGGCTAGGACGAAGGAGACGTTACTGGGGCCTGCTCGAGGCAATCGACGAATAACAGGATGGTCATGATCGTGATTGATAGGTTTAAATGCAAGAGTCAAAAATAAATGACTTTGAGAAAGATGACCTTGAGGTATAAAGGTACAAAATATGAAAAATATTTTCACTTTATAGGAAGGTGGATTATTTATATATTGTTTTAATTAAAAAAAGCTGTCAGTAGCACCATGATTAGACCACAAACTGGGAAAGTAGTTATCACATTTGTCTGTCTTCACATATATGCATATAGATGACTATAAATATGCATATATATAATATATATGATATATATACACATCTATTAATGAATCTATCGCGGGCTGGAGCGATAGCACAGCGGGTAGGGCATTCGCCTTACAAGCGGCCAACATGGCCAACCCGAGTTCGATTCCTCTGCCCCTCTCGGAGAGCCCGGCAAGCTACCGAGAGTATTCGATATGCCAGACACAGTAACAACAAAGTCTCCAATGGAGATGTTACTGGGCCCGCTCGAGCAAATCGACGATCAACAGGATACCTTACCTTTTACCTTATTAATGAATCTAATACAAAACAGCCACCCAACAGAGAAAAGAAAGGCTGATTTCATTTCATGAAGTAAGACTAAAAGTGGGTAATAAATGCTCAATTTCAGTCATAATGAGAGAAATGAAAATTTGAATAGAAATGATTTTTTTGGGGGGTATCTTTGAGTCACACCTTGCAGTGCTCAGGGATCACTGCTGGATCTGTGCTCAGGGATCTCTTGAGGCAGGTTCAGGGGACCATATGGGAGGCCAGGGATTCAACCTGGGTTGGTCACATGTAAGGCGAATGCCCTGCCCACTATACTGTCGTTCTGCCCACCAAAATTATTATTTATATTTATCAGATAAATAGAAATGGAAAACTGCTTAACTTCATTGTGAGAATATCAGCAACACTGACACACGTTGGTAGGAGTGTGAACTGATTAAATCACCTGAGAAGTTTTACTTTTTCATAGAGTGTTATAAATAGTCTGCACATTTCTATACCCAGTAATTCCATTTGTGGTAACATTTTGCATTTTCTATAAAAACTCAACAATTTGTTTCTTAGTAAAATTTAGTATGTGTAATAGGTAGACATTTACATTTTTAGCAATTATATTTTTAAGTGTATTTTCTAGAGACGTTTGCACATAAGTATCAGAAGATATGTCTAAAATTGTTCATAGCAATGTGATAGTTTTAAAAATGGCAAGAGTCTGAGTGTCCTGAAAAACAATAGACAAATAAATTACAGCATAAGCACAAAACAGAATATTATACAGCAATGAAGATATATGTTACTGATATAAAAATAACATGAAACTTTTTCATGACCATGATATAGAGAAAAAAGAAAAACACAAGTCCATTTGGTCTATGGGTCTATGAATCTATTTACTGTGATTTCATACCTCTGAAATATATACACTTTAAACTAAAGCGTATAGAAGTTTAAGAGTAAATACAGTAAAATACTGTAGCGATAGCACAGCGGTAGGGCGTTTGCCTTGCACGCAGCCAACATGGCTGACCCGAGTTCAATTCCTCCGCCCTTCTTGGAGAGCTCGGCAAGCTACCGAGAGTATCTCGCCCACACGGTAGAGCCTGGCAAGCTCCCCGTGATGTATTCGATATGCCAAACACAGTAACAACAAAATCTCCAATGGAGATGTTACTGGGCCCACTCGAGCAAATCGATGAACAACGGGAGGGCCTTTACCTTTACCTTTTTACAGTAAAATACAGAAAAATAGTGGGAAAGATGAAGATTCAGGACAACTGTGCTCTCTAAAGAGAGAGATAGGGTTTTTATTTATTTGTTTTGTTTTGTTTTTGCTTTTTGGGTCACACCTGGCGATGCTCAGGGGTTATTACTCTTCGTTTTGCATTCAGGAAATACTCAGGGGACCATTCGGGATGCCGGGGATTGAACCCAGGTGGACTGCATGTAAGGCAAACACCCTCACTCCTGTCCTGTACTCTCTAAAGAGAAAGGAAGTTTCTGATATTCGGAGGTGAACCACAAGAGAACTTTTATGTGAATGAGGACTGTTTTACACTGGTCACAGATATTCACAATTTTTTTATACCTACTTATATTATAAATTGTATTTCAATAAACTTTTTATTAATCAAAAGTTTTAAAAAGCATGGTACCCAGTGTTATGCACTGTAGGGTAAAATAACCTAAAATACCTGTGGTCATGGGTTCTCAAGTGATTTGTGATGCAGAATGAATGCTAAGTGTATATAATACATAGACCTGACAGTGTTGATATATACCTTATAGATTAGATTTTTTAAGGTGTAAAAAGGTGATTTAAAAGGCACATTTTTAAAAATGACCGATGGATCAATATGAAAAACATTATAAAGAGGCTAATCTTTATTTTCTGAGAAATTTAGTAATATGAAATAATTGCAACATCAATGATGAACAAAGAAATTACTGATACATAATCTCTGGAAGTGACAACAAGCTTGTTTTAAATGTGATTTCAGGCTCCAGAAGAGTTAAGTTTGTTTTTTATTCTTTCTAATTAATGATATAAATTTATGCTAATATCAATGTACAACCCTTTCCTTTTGTTTCTTTTGCTATCAAAAGCATTTGAGTCAGGATCTGGAAGACTCATCTTGTTCTTCAACACAAGGAAAATTTAACAGAGAGCAATTTTATAAATTTATCATTTTCCCTGGCAAGTGGATTAAAGTCTGGTACGATCGACTTACTTTGTTGGCGCTACTTGATCGGTAAGCTGCTGAGTTTGCAAATGTCCAAATGAAAGACACAATGGGGCCTTAAGCAATGTGGGCTTACAAGCTTAAGAAAGAAAAATTGCCTTTTGCAAATCTTTCCTGGAATCAAGTTGAACACCTTTTTGCAAACACAAAGTTGTGAACCATTAGGACTGTGACAATTGAAGAAATAGTAAATCTAGCCCTCAAAATGGAAAAAATGAGAATTGGATAATATAGTTTAGATTTCAACTTTAGGGACAATACATGGGTTGTTCTGTTCACAGCTTGACACTTTTTTGTTTGTTTTGGTTTGGGGGCCATACCTAACTGTGATCCAGGCTCAGTTCTAACTCTGAACTCAGAGTTAGAGTTAGCTCACTCACAGTGGGGCGCAGGGGACCATATGGTATGCTGGGGATGGAATCCAAGTGGACTGCAGGAAAAGCAAAACTCTTACCTGCTGTTCTCTTGATCCAGTCCAGCTTGACATATTTTTGTAGAAAAACTTGAGGGTTCCATTTGTGGCATGGAAGACAACTTAAGTGTGTTTGGGCAGGGGTAAAAGGAGGGTGGATAAAGTGATTGTTACTTCTTTCTTTTAATAACTTTGATCTGTTTTTTTTTTCCTTTCTGACATACACTCATTTGAAAGTTAATATTTCATTGAACACATTTACTTATCACCTTTTTAATTTATGGGGGGAGAAAGAAAACAGGAGAAAAGAAAAGCAAAAGAGTGTCAAGCTGTGAGTAGAACATATATTGTCCCTAAAGTTGAAATCTAAACCATATTACCCAATTCTTATTTTTCCCATTTCTTATAAGAAATGCAAAATTACATGCAAAATTACAACTGTAAATTTCAGGACCTACAAGCCTGGAAATGAAGTTACAATGTTCTTTTCTAATAATACTCTGTTCCCTAAGGAAAACTTTCTTAACCTAAATGCCTAATGCCTAAATGCCTAATGGTCACTCTACTTTCTCATCCTTGTAGTCTATGACTTTTATGGGGAGTCCCAGGTGCTGATCAACTCCGGGTAGGTAAAGTCTAGTCCCCACTAATTAGGAGAGTTGTTATCAGAGGATTCTGATAAAACTACTAGTGCCTCAATTTCCTGTTAGATGAGGAGAATTTCAAGTTTGCCACAACAAGATTTGTACAAATATTATTTGCTATTATTCCTATTATTATTTCTGAAATGTGATCCAGAACATAGAAAGAAGAACAAAAAATGTTGATATCTTTTGGGCCACATTTGGTGGTGCTCACAGCTCTTAGCTCTATGCTCAGACATGGCTCCTGGTGGGGCTCAAGGTTCCTTGGATTAAAACCCAAGTAAACCAAGTGCAAGGTAGTGCCCTACCTGCTTACTATTTATCCAACCTGAATAAAAGAAAAATTTAAGAATGAAGCAATATTAGAGTGGATGGAGTATGTGTCATTAAACATAAACAATGAAATAGGTGTTTGACTGAAAACACCTTATATTCAGAGTACCTATGAGTCTATTTTGAGTCATATAGAAACAAGCTTGGTGAGTTTTTCCCAGTGAATTTAGATAGGAAAAAGAGACTAGATGAACCCCTACATGACAGCAACAAACGGGGAAAAACTCCCAAACAGTGACCTAGAAAAATCAAGCAACTTGGGACCTTTGCAAAGAGAGTTGTAATCTCCTGACAGGATTCTGGGTCAGAGTCAGCTGGGAACTTTTATAGAGATATTATCCTGAGCATGACAAGTCCTAACTATAATGTAGACTGAGCACTGCCTATGGTTGTATTATGGTGTATTATTTAAAGGTTGTTATTTAACACCTTAAAACTTAAATTCCTATTTGGGACCATTATGATCTGAGATGTGTATTTAAGAGAACATGAATGAAGTTACACAAATTTTACATTTTATACTATGATAGCTATATTTTTATTTTCGAAGTCATAAATTACTTATATTTATTATGGGAAAATTATATATTTGTTATGGAAAAAATTATGTTTGAGATCACACATGGATTAAAAGTACTGATTAGAGAATGTGTGTTAAAACAAACTATAAGGATTTGGCAGGAAGAAACTAGTGAATATTAAGCAATGCTATTTAACTAAACTTTGAGAAAAATTCCTATAGTATAAGGTCTGCTTAATTTTCTTCAGTGTTACTCCCGAAGTCAAACTAATATTCCCTGAAAATGTTTCAATAGGATCTGATCATATTTTGTTTCTTATCATTGTACAATCTTCATTTGCCCTGTTTGCCATTCAATATATTCAGATATTTGCTACAACCCAATTAAATAATTAATTAATTTATTTATCTTTATTAGTGAAACATCATGAGGTACAGTGGTAGACATACAAATTTTTGTGCTTGGGTTTCAATTATACAGTGATCAAATACCCATCCCTCCACCAGTGCCCATTTCCCACCACCACGGATCCCACCCCCCATTCCCCCCATCCCACCCTGCCTCTGTGACAGGGCATTCCCTTTTGTTTTATCTCTCTTATTAGGTGTTGCGGTTTGCAAAAGAGGCAATGGGTGACAATCATGTTTGGTCTATAGTCTACTTTCAGCATCCTTCTCCCATCTTGGGAGAATCTTTATTTGGTGTTCACTTTTCTATCTGAGCTCCCTTTTCCCCTAGCATGTGTGGTTGGCCTCCAAGCTATGGAGTAAAATTCCTGGTACTAATCTCGTCCATTTTTGAGTGTTAGTCTCCTATTTTGTTACTTTATGTTTCCCAGATGAATGCAATCTTTCTATGTCTATCCCTTTCTTTCTGAGTAATTTCGCTTAACATGATACTTTCCATGTAGCACCGCTAGTATGTAAATTTCATGACTTCATCTTTTCTAACAGCTACATAGTACTCCATTGTGTAAAGGTACCAAAGTTTCTTTAACCAGGCATTTGTTCTCAGGCACTCAGGTTTTTTGAGATACTGGCTATTGTAAAGAGTGCTGCAATGAACAAACAAGTGCAGATGTCACTTCGACTATACTTTTTTGCCTCTCTGGGATATATTCCCAGAAGTGGTATTGCTGGGTCAAATGGGAGCTCAATTTCTAATTTTTTGAGAATCGTCCATACTGTTTTCCAAAAGGGCTGAACCAGTCGGCATTCCCACCAACAGTGAAGGAGTGTCCCTTTCTCGCCACATCCGCGCCAACACCAGTTGCTTATATTCTTGTGGATATCAGCGAGTCTCTGTGGTGTGAAATGATATTTCACTGTGGTTTTGACCTGCATCTCCCTGATGATTAATGATGTGGAGCATTTTCTCATGTGCCTTTTAGCCGTTCGGATTTCTTCTTTGTGAAAGTTTCTATTCATTTCATCTCCCCATTTTTTGATGGCGTTGGATGTTTTCTTTTTGTGGAGTTCAACCAATACTTGTATATCTTTGATATCAACCCCTTGTCGGATGTGTATTTGGCGAATATCCTTTCCCATTCTGTAGGCTGTCTTTGTATTTTGGTCACTGTTTCTTTTGAGGTACAGAAGCTTCTTAGTTTAAGATAGTCCCATTTGTCTATCTCTGTTTTCACTTGCTTAGCCAGCAGTGTAACATCTTTGAAGATACCATTAGCTTCTATGTCATGGAGGGTTTTGCCAACTTTTTCCTCAGTGTACCTTATGGATTCTTGTCTGATGTTGAGCTCTTTAATCCACTTTGATCTTACTTTTGTATATGGAGTTAGGCAGAGATCTGAGCCCACTTTTTTGCATGTAGCCGTCCAGTTTTGCCAGCACAATTTGTTAAACAGGCTTTCCCAGCTCCACTTCAGTTTTCTTGCCCCCTTGTCGAATGCTTGGGGGGAGATGTCAGTATATTCAATTCTGTTCCATTGGTCTGCAGCTCTGCCTTTGTTCCAGTACCATGCTGTTTTAATTATTATTGCTTTGTAGTAGAGTTTGAAGTTAGGGAGGTTGATTCCTCCCATTATCTTTTTCCCAAGAATTGCTTTAGCTATTCGTGGGGTCTTATTGTTCCATATAAATTTCAGGAGTGTTTGCTCCATTTCTTTGAAAAATGTCATTGCTATCCTAATAGGGATCACATTGAATTTACACAGTGCTTTGGGAAGTATTGCCATTTTGACAATGTTAATTCTCCCGATCCATGAACAGGGGATATTTTTCCATTTCCTCGTATCCTCTTTTATTTCCTGAAGTAGCGTTTTGTAGTTTTCTTTGTACAGGTCCTTTACTTCCTTAGTTAAGCTGATTCTTAGATACTTGATTTTCTGGGGCACAATTGTGAACAAGATTGTTTTCTTCATGTCACTTTCTTCTCTTTCACTATTTTCATATAGGAAAGCCATGGACTTTTGGGTATTGATTTTATAGCCTGCAACTTTACTAGGAGTTTCTTGGTAGAGGTTTTAGTGTTCTCTAAGTATAGTATCATATCATCTGCGAATAGTGAGAGCTTGATTTCTTCCTTTCCTACCTGGATGCCCTTCAATGTCTTTGTCTTGTCTAATCGCTATTGCAAGTACTTGCAGTACTATATTGAACAGCAGTGGATAGAGTGGGCATCCTTGTCTCGTCCCTGATCTTAGATGGAAGGCTCTCAGTTTTTCCCCAATGAGGATGATGTTTGCTGTAGGCTTGTGGTAGATGGCTTTAACTATATTGAGGAAAGTCCCCTCTATCCCCATTTTGGCAAGGATTTTCATCATGAACGGGTGCTGGATCTTGTCAAATGCTTTCTCTGCATCTATAGATATTATCATATAATTTTTATCTTTTCTTTTGTTGATATGATGGATTATATTGATTGATTTCCGAGTGTTAAACCAGCCTTGCATCCCCGGGGATGAATCCTACTTGGTCATGGTTTATGAACTTTTTGATGAGTTTTTGAATTCTATTTGCTAGTATTTTGTTGAGAATCTTCGCATCCGTGTTCATCAGGGATATAGGTCTGTAGTTTTCTTTTTTGTGTGTTGTCTTTGTTTCCTTTTGATATTAGAGAGATATGGGCTTCATAGAAACTGTTTGGGAGAGTTTCCGTTTTTTCAATTTCCTGGAAAAGCTTGAGAAGGACTGGCAGTAGGTCCTCTTTAAATGCTTGGAAAAATTCCCTAGTGAATCCATCTGGACCTGTGCTTTGTTTTTAGGAAGACTTTTGATTACAGTTTCAATTTTGTTGATGTTAATAGGTCTATTCAGATACTCCAGATCTTCTTGATTCAGCTTTGGGAGATTATAGGAGTCCAGGAATTTGTCCATTTCTTCTAAGTTCTCTTGTTTTGTGGCATACAGACTTTCAAAGTAGTCTCTGATGATCTTTTGGATTTCTTTGGTTTCTGTTGTGATATCCCCCTTCTCATTTCTGATTCGGTTTATTAGGCTTCTCTCTCTCTCTCTCTCTCTCTCTCTCTCTCTCTCTGTGTGTGTTTCTTTGTGAGTGTTGCTAGTGGTTAATCTATCTTGTTTATTTTCTCGAAGAACCAGCTTTTGGTTTCATTGATCTTTCGATTGTTTCTTTGGTTTTCATGTCATTGATTTCTGCTCTAAGTTTTATGATCTCTTTCCTTCTGCCTGATTTAGGCTCTTTCTGTTGATCCTTTTCTAAGGATTTGAGCTGTGAGTTCAAGTTGTTTATGTGCATCCTTTCTACAGACCTAAGATATGCTTGCAGAGCTACAAATTTTCCCCTTAATACGGCTTTCGCTGCACCCCATAGGTTCTGGTCGCTCGTGTCTTCATTCTCATTTGTTTCCAGGTATCTTTCGATTTCGTTCTTGACTTCGTTCCTGACACACTCATTGTTCAGCATTGAGTTGTTTAATTTCCAGGTGTTTGATTTGGTTCTCCGTGTCTGTGTGTGATTCACTTCTATCCTCAGTGCATCATGGTCTGAAAAGATGGTTGATACTATTTCTATCTTCCTGATTCTGTTGAGGTAAGTTTTGTGGCCTAGCACACGGTCTATTTTGGAAAATGTTCTGTGTGCACTGGAGAAGAATGTGTATTCTTTCTTTTTGGGTTGTAAAGTCCTGTATATTTCTATAAGCCCTTTCTCTTCCATTTCTTTTTTTCAAAGCCAATAATTCCTTGCTAAGTTTTGTTCTTGTTGATCTATCCAGAGTTGATAAGGCGATATTGAAGTCTCCAAGTACTATTGTGTTGCTAGCAATGTCCTCTTTAAAATCTGTTAGCAGTTGTTTTAAATATTTAGCCGTTCCCTCATTAGGTGCGTATACATTTAAGAGTTTGATTCCTTCCTGCTGTACGTATCCCTTGATGAAGAGAAAATAGCCTTCACTGTCCCTTCTAATCTTTTTCAAGGTGAAATTAATGTTGTCGGATACTATTATGGCCACCCCAGCTTTTTTGAAGGAGCTGTTTGCTTGCAGGATTGTTTTGCATCCTTTGACTTTGAGTCTGTGTTTGCTTTGACTGTTGAGATGAGTTTCTTGTAGGCAGCAGAATGTTGGGTTCTGTCTCTTATCCATTTTGCCACTCTTTGTCTCTTAAATGGTGAATTTAGACTCTTGACATTGAGAGAGATTATTGTTATGGGATTTTGTGTCATCTTTCTGTAAGGATGTGTTGTGGTTTTAGGGTTTGTCTTTTCTTATAGTAGCCCCTTTAGCCCTTCTTTTAGGTTTGGTTTTGAGTCTATAAAGTTCCTGAGCTGCTGTTTAACTAGAAAATAGTGTACTGTTCCTTCAATTTTGAGTGAGAGATTAGCTGGATAGAGTATTCTAGGTGAAGCATTCATTTCAATGAGTTTTTTCACTATATCTTGCCACTGCCTTCGGGCTTGGAGGGTTTCTTCTGATAGATCTAAGGGGTGCTCCTTTGTATGTGATTTCCTTTTTTGCCCTTGCTGCTTGCTGTATTGTGTCTCTATCGGCAGCATCAATCATTCTAACTATAATATGTCTTGGAGTGTTTTTGTTAGGGTCTCTTTTAGCTGGCACCCTTCGGGCTTCTTGAATCTGAATGGCTGTATTGTGGAGCTCTGGGAATTTCTCAGCGATGATTTGTTTAACCATGGTTTTTTCATTGGTATTGTTTCCCTGAGCTTCTGGTATTCCAATGATTCTAATATTGTTTCTTTTGGAATAGTCTTCTAGGAGTCTGATTCTCTGTAGAGCTATTTTGAGGTCCTTTGCCACTGTTTGTTGTTGCCTGTTGTCTTGGTGCAGCTGATCTTCCAGCTCACTGATTCTTTCCTCTGCTGTGATCATTCTATTTTTGAGGGCACAGACTGAGTTTTTTATTTCATCTATGGAATCTTTGATTCGTTCCATTTCTCTGCGTAGCTTTCCAATTTCTGCTCTCATTTCTTCCTGTATTTTGTCAATTGTGCCATCGATTGTTTCTTTCATGTCCTCTTTCAATTTACTGGATATCTGTCTGACTGTTTCATTGAGTTGATTGAACATCTTGATGACTTCATATCTGAATCCTTTGTCAGAGAGGTCCCTTAAGTGTCTAGAACTTACTGAGGCTTCTGGGCTCGTTTCATCATCCTCTCCCTGTGGTGGGGATTTGCCTCCTTTCTTCATGTTGGTGTGCCAGTGTAGGGAGTAGATTTCTTGGTATGAGTAAACCACTTGCCACTGCATAAGCAGCCACCCCCAGAAAATTAGCCACGCCCACTTCTTTAAAAGCCACGCCCACTTCTAAAAGCCATGCCCACTTCTAAAGTGGCCACACCCCCATGGGTACCTGGTGTATGTCTGGGGCTTGAAGATTGGGTGGGGAGAAGAGACCAGTTCAGCTTGGGTGACGAAAAGGGAGAGGCTGAGAGGCTCAGAGCTGCTTTGTCTCCCAGAGTCCGGAGGACGCCTGCGGCGCTTGCAGGTGGAAAGTCAAGTCCCGGACTCCAATGCTGGCTGGTGGACTGACCTGGATGCGGAGGAGACTGGCGGAGCAGCGTTGGGGGCGAGCGGGCAGGACGTGGCTCAGGTCCGCTTTTGTTCCAGGGTCCCAGAGGACGCCTGGGCCTTTGCAGGGCGAAAGCCAAGTCCTATTCAGATATTTTTGACTTGTCTTTATTGTCCATTTTTACTTTCCTCTAATTTTAATTTGCCATTCCTCCACTTGTAAAAACTTGAAGTTTTATTTCATGTATGTATTTTATCCATTTTGTGGACCCTATCTTGTAGTACTCATCTTAGTCCATTTGCAGCATTTCAAAATTAATCTCTGCTGTATTAGTTAATTCTCTTTCTTGAATTTTCATTTATTATACTTTTCTTACTATTTTCTTATTTCCTTTTGCCTTGTTGGTCATTTCTTAAGTCGTCTTTTCTGATAACTTTTGCCTTACTAATGAAATTTCAAGGAGTTCTGAAGTTGTTTCCTTTCCTTCCCCGCCCCTTCCCCACCTCCCTTCTCCTCCCATCCTTCCTTCCTGGATTTAAATACAATTGATAGGGATTGGCTCTGCCTGCCTGCCTGCCTGCCTTCCTTCCTTCCTTCCTTCCTTCCTTCCTTCCTTCCTTCCTTCCTTTCTTCCTTCCTTCCTGCCTCCCTCCCTCCCTTCCTCCCTCCCTTCCCTCCTCCTCCCCCTCCCTCCCCTCTCCTCCTCCTTCCTCCTCCCTCCTCCTCTCTCCTCCTCCTCCATCTCCTCCTCCATCTCCTCCTCCTCCTCCTCCTCCTCCTCCTCCTCCTCCTCCTCCTCCTCCTCCTCCTCCTCCTCCTCCTCCTCCTCCTCCTCCTCCTCCTCCTCCTCCTCCTCCTTCTTCTTCTTCTTCTTCTTCTTCTTCTTCTTCTTCTTCTTCTTCTTCTTCTTCTTCTTCTTCTTCCCTCTCCCCCCTCCCCTCTCCTCCTCCCATTCCTCCTTCTACTACTCTTCCTCCTCCTCCTTCTTCTCCCACTTCCTCTCTTGGCAGCATTTGCAGGCCTTCAGAGCTGCCATCCATATGATGAGGGGGGTCTCAATTCTTCTTGCATAGAATGCACCCTAATTGCAGCACAGTACTATCTTCTGGCCCCCTGACTATGAGATTGACACTTCATCATCATAGTTAAAATTTCTGATTATATTTTATTTGTCTTAATTATAGATATCTATTGTTAAAATATTTTTTTTATAAAGCAGGTATAGGGAGTCAAAAAACCTTAACATATTGTTAGAAGTGTTCAGGTAGTTTCTATTAGAAATAGGCAATTTTCTTTAACCATATGTATTGGTATATAACTAAAGATAGATGTATAAAATACAATAGCTCTGAGATTTTTTAAAACTTGTTTTATTTGCACAGAACTGAAGATGTCAAGGAAAATGTGCTGGCGGTTCTACTGATTGTCCTGGTTTCTTGGCTTGGATTTCTAACTCTGAACCGAGGCTTTTACAAAGACATGCGGGTGCTACTCTTCTGTCTTGTAATGGCCAGTTGCCAGTATTCCCTGTTAAAGGCAAGATCACTTCTAATTCTTACCATCACCAGTGTGTCCATGAAATTATGAGATAATGACAGACACTTCTGATTTGTGTTCTAGAGTGTTCAGCCTGACCCTGCCTCACCAATTCATGTAAGTGTCAAAAACAAGTAGTTTGTCTTATTTGCTGTGTTCAAGGTAAGGGAATGGCTAAAACCTATTCTGAAGACAGAAAATATATGTATTGGTTAAAACATTACTAAATATATAAATAGAAATATTTAGAAGTATGTTTGGTTGCCAAGTTCAGGTAGGGTCTAAGTACTTGGGTGGCAGGAAGAAATGCAGAGGTGGGTGACTCTCTGTTCAATGGTTCTTTTGTTTGAAATGGCCCTGAACTAGGTGGGAGACAGCAGTCTGATTCAGGCTGCTGATTTGATTCCTTTTTCTTCATCTGAGTGAACAAACATGTGTATTTCTCATACCTCACTTTCTTATGTGAGAATACGAATGAGTAAAATTGAATTTCTATAATCTATGCCATGCATTTAAAATAGTGCTCAGGACATAGAGACAGCTTAATGAATTAGGGTTATTATTAGTAGTAGTCTCAGTTAACCAAGAATATAAGCATAAATCATTACTTTTTTTAAAAAAAATCAAATTTGATATCTTCTTATGTGATGTTTTCAAGTATATTGCCTTTATGTTTATTTTGTTTTGGAGCCACATCTAGCTAGCAGTGCTACATTTTTACTCCTGGCTCTACACTCAGGTTTCCCTTCTGGCAGCCTTGGGGGCCTATATGGAGTGCCAGATATTGAATCAGGCTAGATGCATGCCAGACAACACCCTACCTGCTGTACTTTCACTCCAGCACCTATATTGCCTTTTACACGCCAAAAATTGAGCTAATTTCTGAGACTCTGGGCTTAACACTGATTTATTGGTGCTTTGTCATTCTTCTTTGAGTTCTGACATAAACTCACTTTTACCAACGAGCTGGAACTTCTCGTAGGGGGTGCTGGTATAGGTTATGTTCCCTAGGCCTCATGCCTTTGCACTGAGACCACTACCTTGTGGACTTCCAGCTTTTTCATTATGGTGAGCCCTTGTGGAGTCTTCCAATAAAAGAATGCCTTATCTTCCCTCTATTGTTCAGTAAAAAAAGAAATATTCAGAATTTCAGATTGCTTTTCAATACAGGATAGCTAAAATTTAGTTCAGAGTCATTAAGAAAAGCTTATAATTGGGTGATCACATGGTACACTTTGCAATCTTAAGTTCCTCTGTTCCCCATAATTGGTTTACATATAATACATCTTCTTTTATCCCAGAATCTGAATGTCAAGATAAGTAGAAGCAGCATAATTAGGGTATGAAAATGTATTGTTGTGATTATCTTCAGAAATCTGGGTTAGGTGGTGTGAGAGAAGTGTGCAGTTCTGAAATGTTTAGTTCATGCCCACCCTAGATGCCACATCCGTAACCTTCCTGTTTCTAAGCCCTCTGTATCAAGAGAATACTTCAATTTCAGTACCACTGTTTTTCTGGGTAACTTATAGGAGAGGTGTTATATACCATTAAACATTCCTTTCTCATTTGCTGTCAGCAACAAAGCAGAGTATGCCAGTAAAGGTGAATGGCAAGTACAGCTGCATAATTCCTGTGGGTTTGAATATTTCTTAACAGGGTGATTACTCTACATTAGAGTTAAATAGCCCATATTGGACGGGTTCCTGGAAGATTAGGTCAAGATACCGGTCCTTTATCTGAACATGCATGTCTTCGAATGATGCTTAAAAACATTACATCTAACTGTCACAGTAAAACACAATCTTCCACTTAGCTTGCTTTTATTGCAGTAATTAATTCGCTTTTCACAGATTTCTAAGAAGATAAGTCTCGAATTTGAGCTGGCATTTTTATAACAGTTCAGGTAAGGGAAAGGACTATGGTAGCTATAAAATCTTTTCCTTTATCACCTGACTAAGCCATCAGGGCATTTAACCGACTAGTTTATCATCTCCAGTTTATAATAGGAATGCCTTCAAAAGTACCCCCCTGGTCAAGAGATTGAACAAAATCCCAGTGTTGACAGAGTTCTCATGTCTGCCATCATCTCTTGTGCTGGCAAAGTTTTATTCATCAGGGACAACTGGAAGAGTCTAAATCCTATTCAAAATGACATCACTTTGTACATTGGTTAGGGAAGAGAGAGCTATCTACAGATTTATTCCCTTCCTGCTCTTTAGAGTGATTCACTTTTCTTCTTTATTTCCAGGAAGTAGCAAATTTTGAGCAAGTTGTTAAAACCCGGTGCAAAATAAACATTTAAATTTTGTATAAATCTCAATATTCCAGATGCAGATGGATTCTAATAGTTATGGTGCACTAGATTCTAGTCCTGAAAGAAATGTATTATGCTGTCAAAGATTAAAATTCTAGAGTTGTAGATATTGGAAACAATATGAGAAGTAGAGAATGGTATAAAGTGACAGATAACAAAGCTGTTAATTACTTTACACAGTTTTGTGCACAGATCTGTGATCTGTAACCACTAATAACCTAGAAAGAAAAAAATCCATAAGACTTATGATAGCAGAAATACTGGAATAGTAGAACCAGTGTCTGGGGTCACTCCAGCATCTGCTGAAGTTCTGAGTCAGTGAAGTTGGAGCATCAGAGAAACTGCAGTCTGCATCTTAATGAGACCCTCTCCCCTACTCCCAGGTTATGGTGGAAGCAATTTCAGCTCACACAGGAGAAATACTGAGGTCACAAGAAATGTGCTGGTTTGCACTTGCTATGGCTGGATCTTAATCCAGCCATAGCAAGTGCAAATTAGGGGATTATAGGTAATTACCTTCTTTGAATCTCAGATTTTTCATTCACAAAAGAAGACACCTAATGAAGCAGACTGGAAGGAAATAAAACATGATAGTATACCACAAATGCCTAACACAGCACTTGGCACCGAGGGCATACTTGGAAACTGTTGCATTTTTATTGTTTGTAAAATATGGATAATGATATCCTTGACTGGATTTAATGAAGAGTCAACTGTGCAACCTGTATAATATGCTGACTATGCAGGTCTGGACTACACCAAGTCCTCTGTAAATTTTTGTTTGTTTCTCCTGCTCTGCATATTTATTCTGTTTCCTTTATGTATTTCAAAGAACAAGGGATATAATTGTCCTATTCCATGAACTTTAGATAGTATATACAAAGGATACCTCAGATTCTGTAAAATTAGTGAGGATGATTTTTATGTGTTTTTAAATTTTAGCACAGTGAAAATCAACAGTACTGTTAAACACCATACTTTATCCTCCTTTTTACTAACCTCCATCAGTATGCTACATCTGTCATAATTAATGAACCAACACTGATACATTTTTATTAATTGAAGTCTGTGTTTTAATTAAACTTCCTTAGTTTTTACCCCATGATTATTCTAGTGGATGTGTTTGGGGAGAAAATGTGCAGAAATAAAAGGCCATTTCACAGTGTCATGTTGTTATATCCACAACATAACTGAACCCTGTTGCTTCAAACCTTAACTACTTGGTTTGAAGCATATTTGTTAGAAAATTGTTTATCAGAAGAATGGCATACAATTTTTCAGTTATTTTTTTCTAAATTTTCTTAACGTTTTGGTTTTATGGGAGACACCCAGCGATACTCAAGGGTTAGTCCTGGCTCTGCACTCAGGAATTACTCCTGACGGTGCTTGAGGGATCATATGGGATGCGAGGGATGAACCCAGGTTGTCTGCATGAAAAGCAAGTGCCCTCTCTGCTGTACTATCTCTTCAATCTCCAAATATCTTAATTTCTTTTAATGCATACTGAATTTCTATCATCACCAGCCAAACTGGGATTCTTCCTTTTCTTGCTATAGAGGGAAATGCTAAGGAACTGGGGGATTGTGGGTGGCAGCGATGTGGGCAGCATCTCGGCCAGCACTTTGATACCCATTTTGTTGTCCCTTGGATTAACAATTGAATCTGCATATTTTTCAGTGCTAACTAACAAATTTAGGAATTTGACTCTAAAATAAATCATTTTATAGAACTAAACTATAAAATAATATTCTGGAAATGTAAGTATTTGCTTATGTCTTTTACCATGTTTACATTGAAGTAGCATCTTCCTAGATTTTCAAGAATGATTTGGTTCTTTGGTAGCTACTTATCTCCTTTAATACTTTCGCTATAATAAATTGGTTTCCTTCACATACACCGAGAGTGAGTCATAGAATACTTGCTATCAAGGATTTTATTAGGGTTCCACTTTCTGTAGTGCATTAAGTGCTTACCCCCATCTTGTCTCCCTTTACTTCACATTCAAAGGGGACTGAAACATGTAGTTTGAAATTTTTGGAATAACCTTTAAATAGACAAGTGATTTGCTATATTTAAAATAAAAAGAAACCACATCGGTTGGTCACACCAAGAAATGCTATTTTAAGTAAACTAACTCACATTATCATAAGAACCTAAAAATAGGAATGTGGGGAGGTGACTCAAAAGGGCTTGAGTGCATGCTTTGCCCTGTAGGTGGTTTGAGTTTGATCCCTGGCATCACACTGCTGGACGTATCCTCTGAGCATCAAGTGAGGAATAACCTTGAAGAACCATGTGTGTATGTGGCCAAAAAAAGCAAAGAAAGAAGAAAAAGAAGAAGAAAAATCTAAGAATAGAAAGTCCTTATTATAGAGAGGTCCAGGAAGGTTAGCAGAGAGGCTGGGCAGAGCATACAGCTTTTTGTATAACACTGTTACAAGCTAAGGAGTCATTTTTATCCTCCAGGGACCTTTTAGGAAAAGTCATTACCCCAAACTCATTTGGGGCTTCCCTTAGCCCCATCCTCCATATTAATTGCTTCCTATGGGAAACATTAGCTTTGAGAGTATAAAGAATGATAATTATGAATGAAATTTAATGATGTCAGCTCAAGCTCTTGGCCTGAAATGATGCAGTGCACCTCTCCATGATTGTTTGCAGCCAAAATGTAAGAGCCAAGGCAACTAGAATCCAAATCCTGCACACCCATACTATTTCCTGTCTTTTAGGCCTAGAGGATCCAGTTACTTGATGTAAAGAAGAGTAGAAAATAGAGTTCTTAGCGTATAATGAGAGCTGGTCTTGTGAATGTGCTTATAGTGGGTGGAAAGGGACTGGAGATGCTGAAAGATTGGATATGTGTTAGTTAAAGTTGCAGTTCTGCATCATTTGGGAACAGTGAAGGATCTCTGAATGTGGTTTGATGGGAAAGATTGTTAAGTCCACAGTGTGGGCAGCTGGTGATTGCCTGTGGCAGCAGAGGACATAGGTCTGCAGGAAATCTGCAGTGGGCACAAACAGCTAACTAATAGTAGGGGAATTCATGGATTCTGAGACCCAGTCACAGGGCCCTCTATGATTCTCTCAGACACTCCTTCATCATCATCCAACCCTTTTCCTATTTAATTTTTTTAATTGAATCATAGCGAGATACACAACTTCCAGGTTGTTTATGTTTGGGTTTGAGTTATATAGCATTCCAACACCCATCCCTTCACCAGTGTACACAATCATTTCCCACCACAAATGATTTCAGTGTTCACCCCTACCCTACCCCTCCTGCCTCTGTGGCAAGCACTTTTCTTCTCTCTCTCTACCTTTAGACATTATGGCTTGCAATACAGATACTGTAAGGTTATCACATATATCTTTTTACCTATTTTCAGCAGTTCTTGTCCAGAGCAATAATTTCTAACTATTACGGTCATACTGGACCCTTCTCTATCCTAACTATCCTTTCACCCCCACACACTTGTGGCAAGCTCCAAACCATTGATTAGTTCTCCTGACCCCTGTTTTACCTGGTTTTAGATATTAGTCTCATACTATTTTTTAAAATATCCCACAAATGAGTGCAGTCACTCTATATCTGTTCCTCTCCTTCTGACTCATTTCACTCTTATAAGCAAATTTTATAACTTACTTTTTACTAACAATTGCACAATATTCCATTCTGTAGGTGCACCATAGTTTCTTTAACCATTCATCTGTTCTTGGGCTCTTAGGTAGTTTCCAGATTCTGGCTATTGTAAATAGTGAACATACAAGTGCAAATTGGTTTTCTGCAGAGTGTTTTTGCCTACCCAGGCATATTTCCAGAAGGGGTATTGCTGTTTCAAATGGGAGCTCAATTTCTAGTTTTTGGGGAACGTCTGTATTGTTTTCCCAAAAAAGCTATACCAGGCAACATTCTCACCAGGGAATGAGAGTCCCTTTCTCCCTGCATCTGTGCCAACACTGGTTATTCTTGTCCTTTGGGATATGTGCCAGTCTCTGTGTATGAAATGACATCTCATTGTTGTTTTGATTTTCATCTTTCTAATGATTAGTCAAGTAGAGCATTTTTATGTGCCTTTTGACCATTTGAATTTCTTCTTTGAGAACCCTTTTTCTTTTGCTGCCCCTTAAGCAGAAGCTTAACTCATTTGAGTGGTCCACTTGAAAAGAAAATCAGTTAAAGTGATCCTTTCCCTTAAGAGCATTCTCCCTTGGTTCCCCCAGGTGGCTTCCTGGAGGTCTTGATAACCCCTGCTTGTCCCTTCTGTGCTTTGGGCTGTGATGTTGTGTATGCCATGGAACAGAGGGGAACCCCTAGCTGCACACATGACCAACTTTTATAAAATAGCATCTAGGGTACCCCACAAATAAAACAGTCATGGACCACTAGTGTATTTTAAGGCTTAGAGTCAGAAGACAATTGCAGGGTTAAGCAACTCCATATCATCCAGCATAGCATTGAACTGCTTGACCAGATGGGCTATGTAAAAGTTGACTCCTCAATTCCCTGAGCACTCCTGATAACCCCACTTCACCTTAAAAAAGAAAGGTGGAGACTGGAATGATAGTACAGTGGGTAGGGAATTTGCCTTGCATGTGGCTGACCTTGGTTCAATTTCTGGCATCACATATGGTCCCACAAGAACACGGATCCAGGAGTAATCCCTGAGCTTGGCAGATCCAAGATAATAGCTCACATTTTTTCAAGGTCAAAATCTTTTGATTCCTTTTAAAAATGCATTTTTATTTTTAGCTTTGTAGTAAAAGGAAGAATTAGGTCAAGGGGGAGGCAATTATTTAATTATATTTCCTAAGCAGTATCTGTTTGAGGAAATGTCTCATGTGGTTGGAAATTTGTGTACTAAACAGATATCTGTACTCACAAAATGATTTTGCTACTCATATGAAAGAAGTACATGAAGATATGAATCTTTAATTGATAATTGTTTTTTGTTTTCTTTTTATAAAAAGATATCCCTGTATCCATTAATCTGTGACTGAATTTGGATGCACAGGAAAATTCAGAAAAGCGCCAGTATTCCTTGAAGTCTGAACCTGGACTCAGGGCCAAACATAACCAGTCCCTATGGGCATCCTTTGCTTTCCTTCCTAATAAAGATGATCTCAGAATAGAACCATTTCTAATATAGAAGCAGTAGCAATTTAAATTACATTTCTAAATATAACATCTTCAAGGCAGTGATTAAAAAAATTCACATCCAAACTCAATTTGCTGTAATCTTTACCCTTTTATTCAAAGTGCTTCATGAATTTTATAGTATTCTTTCCTTATTCATTATTGTAAGTTATTTGATCATTGTGCACTGTACATTCTTGGTAATTAAACTTTCAGGTAATCTTGTTGAGTCTAAATTCTCTTTGGTAGTCTTACTCTGATTTGACAGAATAAGCACCATATTTTTTCCTGCTGTTTTATGTGTACCAACTACAGTTGAGGAGGGGGAGAATGTATTCTATGGTATAAGTTGTATAATATACTGTAAATTGTTTACTATAAGACTTTTGTCAATTAATTAAAATAAAAATTACCACTCAGAAATTGTGTTTGTTTTCTAGGGACACAACCAAATCATAACATATAGCAGACCAATCTATTTTTGTGTGCTGTGTGGCCTTATTTTGCTTCTTGATATAGGGGCCAAAGCCAGGCACCCATCCTCTTATGTTATCTATGGCCTGAAGCTCTTCTCTCCAGGGTCCCTCCAATCAGCTAGGGACCTCTTAATAGGTGAGTTAATGTGGGGATGGTGGGGGTTATAGAGGATGGAGAATATCCCTCCCTGTGTCTTCAGAATCCCAAACCATACATATCTATATGATTACTGGATAAAGAACTGATGTTTCACTCTTGACTTGCACACACTCAGAAGATTGTCTAGGAACTGGAATCCCAAAGCACACAGTCATAGAATTGTTATGAAGAATTTTGATATATATGATCCAGAAGTTGCAGTACAATAATATCTGCTTTGTGCAGAGTGCCATTTGAACCTGCCTGGGTGATTGGTTTTGCCCTCGGAGAGTAGTCCCAGAACTGTTTCACATAGATACTTTGATAAGCCATGAATGAGCCTCGTTCTCAATCTAGACAGATATGCTTGTCACTGACCTTTCATTCTTACATTTTGCTCATGGTAAAAGTCCTTAGTCAATCCTTATTCTTGTGATGAGACATATTGGTGACCTCTGGGTAGGAATTTTTATGACTAGAATATTGAGTAACTTCAGCAAAAGTCTCTGAGGGAAACTGCCTTTATATCTTTTGGACGAGAAAGTCAAGAAGTCTGCATTTCTTAGTAAACATCTACCAAAAAGGGTTGTAACAGAGCCAGATTTCCCTTTGGAACACAGTAACATAAACTGTACTGTCTGGAGAAAGGGCATGGAATAAAGATGTTCACCCTAGAGAAAAAAAATATGCAGGTGCTGGAGTTACCCTCAGTGCTGCCAGGTTGAAATGAGGAAGGGACTTTGTTCTTTTTTTTCTGTTGCTGTTCAACCAACTTGCTGCTTGCATAGTATGAGTGAATTGCAGTTCACTGGGTTTTCCCCAGTTTTTTCAACCCTCATAACTCCATCCCCACTCCCTCCCCCCGCCCACAAAACCCTAAAACAACAACAACAAAAACCCAACTCTGAGTTAAAGTTTTCCTCTAGTAGCATTTATTTGTGGGCTCATAAAACCGGGAGTTCTCTGACATGAAAAGAGATATGGCCAGGTGAGATAGCTGTGTTGAGAGTTCCATGCACTGAATACTTTCCTAAACAAATGTCCTGTGCTGTCCTTGTCAGATCTAAGAACTTTATGTTTTATTTTAGTCTTCAGGAGCCCTCACTCCTGCCTATAATAATCCATCATCAATAATATAACCCTTGGAGACAAGTGGAGGTTTGTTAGCAGTTATTGGCATGTACCCACTTTCTTTGCACCTTACATTTCTATGTTTTATATAGACTAGTTTCCCGTCCCTGCAGTTTGTGTGAGGACAGTTAGTGAATGCACAAATATGGCACATTGGAGGCAAACAATGGATATGTTCACATGAACCCTACTGTGTTCATTTTCATATTTTCATGCTATTTTAAGTCTACATAAGCTCATCCCCCAACCTGTAAAAATAGTAATGAATAATCCTATCCATATTTAAACTAATAAAATGTTTTTTATTTAAAGTTTGGCTTGAATGAAAATTAAGCTGTGCCAGTAGTTTCTGCACATTAAGGAAACTGAGGAATTTGGGAAAAAAAAACATGAGGAAATTATAGACCCTCTTAGTAATGTGTTAAAAAATAAATAAATAAATAAATAAACTTTGTTCATAGGGTTCATGGTTAACCAGACACTTTATTTTCTATTCTTGGGAGTAAAAGGAACAGGATATTTCAGCAACTTCAAGGGTAATTTTCTAGACCTCTTCCTAAAACAATTAGCATTTGTTGCTTTTTCTTTGACATGAACTGCCACCTGGCAGTTGAGCTCTCCTAAACTCTCACTCCTTGTCCCCCAACTCTACCTTCATTGTGCTTTCACTTCATGTACCCTTACTGTGCTCACTTCCTATTTAGACTAGACGTTTCTTCTTCTCTTGAGCTCTGGAGTTTTAGATTCTGGGCCTCCCCATGGACCACTGTTCTTTCTCTGTTGTCACATTAAGTTATAATTCTGCACACAGAAACCCAAACACATTCAGTTAAGACTTTCTGGTATATCTTACCAATTTATTTCCTTCATGCCATCCTTTATTGTGACCCAATTCTACCTCATTGGTTCAAGTTTTATCTATAATTATTTTCTTTTGGGGCCACGCCCAGCAGTGCTCAGGGATTCCTCCTGACTCTGAACTTAGAGATCACTTCTGACAGGCTCAGGAAAGCAAACTGGGTGCCACGGGTCAAATCAGGTTCGCTATCCACAAGGCAAGTGCCATACCAGCTGACAGTCTTAATACTTTCATTTCATACTTAATTTTAATACATAGTAGATAGAGAATTTGACACAAACACGCTCATTCCTACAATTTTTTATGTAAAGTTTGAATTTTTAATTTTTTGTTTTTAAAATTGCTGAGGGGTTGGAGCGATAGCACAGCTGTTAGGGTATTTGCCTTGCACGTGCCCAATCCTGGTTTGATCCTCAGCATCCCATATGGTCCCCCAGCACCTCCAGAAGTAATTCCTGAGTGCATGAGGCAGGAGTAACCCCTGTGCATCATGGGATGTGACCCAAAAAAGCAAAACAAAAACCATAAAATTGCTGAATCTCTTTTATCATTCCTATTGACTTCAGTGTGGTTTATATATAGTGTTAGTACATAGTGACTTGTCCAGGCATATTAAATTTTAAATCAAACTTTTTTTCATTTTATTAAGGTTTACAAACATTAAAATTCATTGGCATTTTACCCAATAAAATGATATAGAAAGACGGACTGTTATAATATGAATATATATATATTGAGTTTATATAGAGAGTTATATATAACACTATATAATATATATTTATATATAAACTCAAATTGAATAAAATTGAGAAAGGAACTTCCTATATATGCTCTCTTAAATATTATCTCTTCTCACAAATGATCTCTGTGATGCATTGAATTGTAACATGGGGATTTTTTTTTTATCCATATCGAACTGCTCTATCCAATTGTTTTTTTCTGGCTTGAGGAGACAGCACCATCTTCTCAGGTAGGGCCACCTTCTTTCATAAGTCACCCTGTCGTTCTGTGGAATCAAGCATCACCATGTGTGAAGATTCTTGGTTAATCACTACAGTCCCTCACTCCTCTTCAGTTCTTTGAATGCTGCAGTCGGTACACAGCAACTCAACTGTTGGAGGTGACAAAAAAAAATAAATTGAGGTGTCTCCTTTTGCATCCTCATTGAAGAAGAAATCTGCCTATTTCCGGTGCTTGGATTTTGCATGTTAGCTTTCTCATCTCTCATCTCTCTTACTCCCACCTTTATTCTCCCAAAGTCCAAGTCTTGAACCCAGGAGATGGTCTACTCTTACTGCTCAGTCCTGGTCTTACCTGCATTCCTTTTCTCAGAGCAGCAACTTCTACAATTTCTTTTTCTTTTTCTTTTTTCACTTGAATCACAATGAGATTCACAGTTACAAAGTTGTTCACAACTGGGTTTTAGTCATCCATTTTTCAACACCTTACACCAGTGTACATTTCCCAGTAGCAACGCCCCCAGTTACCTTCCTGCCACTCACCCCGACCATCACCCTCAGCCAACATCTATGGCAAGCACTTTTCTTCTTTCTCTCTGTCTTTCTTACTCTTTTTCTCTCTCTTTCCTTTTGGGCATTATCGTTGGCAATACAGGTACTAAAAGGTTTATTATGTTTATCCCTTAACCTACTCCCAGCAACACAATTATTGTCCAGAGTGTATAGTGACATTTAAAACTCATCCTCCAGCCTCTCTTCTCTGTGGGTGAGAGGAGTCCACTATTTCCTTTGGGTTTCCAGTTGGAAGGGAGGGTGGCAGGATGGCTGCGGGAACCTAATCAACAGTAACTAAATTTTTATATACCATCCATCTTGTCTGTTCAATTTTCAGTGTTTTTATATTGCTTTCCTGCAATTTCCCTTCTTGGACTCTTCCCGCAGATCAACACTTTCTGCATTTATCTCTTGGAACAAATTGACATGCTGTTTTTTGGAGGATCAGGTAAGTCATTTATTTTCTCCTCTTTTTATGAAGTTCAGAAAAGGGTACATAATCATAAAATGTTTGTTCCAAACATTCAAACTTCAGATTGAGTCAGTCAAGTTAATAGTGACTCTGTCTAGAATCAACCAGGCAAAGTGAATGTTGGTAGAGAAAAGCCACAAGCAAGCTTGGCAGAGAAAGGGCACAAACAAACAAAGAAGAGAGTATCACAAGAGTTCTCTGAATTTTAATCTATGTTTAATATGTGTACTGCATGTGTTCCTTTATACACAAAATATCTGTACTATATCTCTAAACTGACTCTCATTTTGTACAGCACTTTTGAATCAGATCACAGTTGAATAAAACCTTATCTAATGCTTAGAAATTTGATGCAAATCATTTAATTTAATCTAAATATTTTGGGTACAGTACTGTTAATTTCTTTTATTTTGAGGGTTAAAACCAGCTGTGTTCAGGAGTTACTCTTGGCTCTGTGCTCAGGGATCACTCCTGGGCAACATATGCATTCTGGGGATTGAAGCATGGCCCACCCCTTGCAATGTATACATTACTCTGTACTATCTGGTCCTCCGTATGCTTTTTATTACAGCTATTGCACTTTCATCACCAGAATTCCTAAGACCTTCTACCACTGTCCTATGTCACTCTAGAAAACCCCTTAACTTACTCTTCTCTAAACGAAAATAAATATACAGATCTCACAGTGTTGCTATAAAGATTAAATTAAATACATAAAAAAATCGGGCTGGAGCGATAGCACAGTGATAGGGCATTTGCCTTGCACGCAGCCAACATGGCCGACCCGAGTTTGATTCCTCTGCCCCTCTCGGAGAGCCTGGCAAGCTACCGAGAGTATCTTGCCTGCACGGCAGAGCCTGGCAAGCTCCCCGTGACGTATTCAATATGCCAAACACAGTAACAACAAAGTCTCCAATGGAGACGTTACTGGGCCTGCTCGAGCAAATCGATGATCAACGGGAGGGTCTTTACCTTTTTACTTTACATAAAGAAATGGGAGTAAAGATTAATCATTATTATTGCCACTTTATTATACACACAATACACATGTGTACAGAGAACCTCCTTGTTCTCTCTCCTTTTTTCCTCTCCCTCATCCTTATCTATCTCTTTTTTGTCTCTATCATTTCTCTTCCCTTTTCATTGAAATCACTGTCCATAATCTTACTTGCCTGTAAAATAAGTTTCTGTTGTAAACAATGGTCATCTTTCTACCATCACACAGACACATTGGTATAGTCTTCTAAGATTTGTTAAAGGTTCTTAAGTGTTCTCAGGTCTTTTTGTTAAGTGACCAGTCGCTGTGCATGGTATCCCAGTGCTTTTTGATTGACCCATAGATTTATGTTTTGCCTTTGGGCAGGCATTTTGCATGGGAAAACTACAAACTTCTCTTCACTTTTTTTTTTTTTTACATTTATTGATTGTGGAATTTTCCAACCTAGAAACATGTTTGTGTTCCAGCCGTTTCAGGGATGACATCGGCGGTTTATAGCATGGCCCGGAGTGCTGCAGTTGTGGCTCTGCTTCACGTGTTCTGTTTTAGTGCAGTGAAGGTAAGAGTGGACTGGACTCTTCCCTTCTTCTCACACTCATTTATGAAAGAATGATTTTAGAATGCAAATGTTTTCTCCATTCACAACAGAGATGAGTCCATCAGTACTTAGCAGGGTATGGCAGATTAGGCCTCGGTGAGAAGACACAACACACTACCTGATAAACTGTGACATATGAGTTCAACTGGCTACAACCTTTTCCACTGGGGTCTCTCTGGTACTGTTAGAGAAGAATCAGAGAAGCTTCTCGTTCACACAGTGCTTAGCCAACTATGTGTATTCATCTGCACTTCCTTCTGAACTGCCATTCAAAAGTCAGTGGAGCAATGTTATTGAATCCTGCTCTATATAGGTAGAGGCAGGGGAAGGATACAAAAAGAACAGAATTTTAGAATCTAGAGGACAGGTGGACTGGATTTATCCAGATGGAGAAAGCTGAATCCTAAGGTGGTAGATATATGTGTACCTATAATGATGCAGAAAGAAGACGGGCATTAAGTTTAGGAAAAATAAAAAGTTGTATCAGCAAAGGAATATAACATGTACATTGTACCAACATGATACAGCTATGATCAAGTTTTTCTATTTCTGATTATCTGAATAATCACTTGATCACTTGACTTCCTGTTAATCGTCGATTTGCTCGAGCAGGTGCCAGTAACGTCTCCATTTGTCCCTGTCACGTGCTAGTGAAGCCCAATGGCTTCTGTTCGTTCTAGGAACACGAAGAGCCTCAAACAGATCGTTCATGATCTTGATGAAGAAGTCTGACCATCTGGTAGGTGGGCGGCCACTCAGTCTTTTGACATTCTGTGGAATCCAGTCGGTAACGGCTCTAGTCCAGTAGTCATCTCTAAATCTCATTACGTGACCAGCCCATCTGATTTTTGACACCTTGAAATTAGACAGTGTCCCTGATTCTTGAGCATCAACGGAGGTCAGAACTCTGGATTCTTTCTCTCATTTGAGTGAAACGTGATACTCCAAGCATAGCTCTTTTAATTCCTCTTTGGGAGACCCAAATAGCGTTCTCATCCTGTTTGCATAGGGCCCAGGTCTCTGAGGCATATGTTAATGCAGGAAGAACAGTGGAATCAAAGAGATGTGTCTGGAGCCGGAGGTTCTTTGTCCTCTTATCTATTTCTTTGACACTCTTGAAGGTGTAACAAGCCACTCTCTTCCTCCTGCGCAGCTTGGGTGCCAGGTCATTTGTCATGTTGACTTCTCGACCTAGGTACACAAAGCTGTTGCATTCGGAGATGGTCGTTCCGTTGAGAGCAAATGGGGCATGAGGAACGGCTGCTGTTTCTCATAAACATTGTCTTCATAAGATTCAGTTGTAGTCCGACCTTTCCACACTCACGGTCGAAGTCGGCAAGCATTTGTGCCACTTGACTAATGTTTGGTGTTATTAAAACAATGTCATCAGCAAAGCGGAGGTGGTGCAGTTGCCAACCATCTATCTTCACTCCCATTCCTTCCCATTTCAGTCATCGCATGATGTTCTCGAGGGTGGCACTGAAGAATTTCAGTGAAATGGTATCACCCTGCCGAACCCCTCTCTTGACATCAACGATCACTTCTTTGTAGAATGGTGAGATCTTGGTAGTGAATCCATAATACAGCTCACGGAGGATCTTGATGTATTGAGCTTGAATACCCTGATTGGCTAGGGCTTCAATGACTACTTCCGTCTCAACAGAATCAAAGGCCTTCTTTAAATCAATGAATGTTAGACAGACCGGCATCCTGAACTCCCAAGAACCCTCAATGAGCTTGGTTATCATGTGGATATGGTCGATGGTGCTGAATCCTTTGCGGAACCTGGCTTGCTCGCATGGTTGTCCTTCATCTAGTGTTCTGCCAATCCTATTGAGGATGACTCGAGTGAACAACTTGTAGATGACAGACAATAGGCAGATCGGGCGATAGTTGCCAATGTCATGGATGTCTCCCTTCTTGAACAATAGTACAGTCCTGCTGGTTTTCCATTAGGACGGAACCTTGCATTCATATAGGTAGCATGTGAAGAGCCGAGCCAGTGTATTGATGAGTACTGACGGCAGGTTCTTCAGGTGTTCAGGTCTGACCTTGTCTGGGCCGGGTGCTGTTCGTTTCTTTACTGACAAAATGGCATGTCGGATTTTGGGAGGGAGAACAGGGGGAACGACATATCCATCCTGTGGAATTTGGTATGTCGGTATGTGGACATGGCTATTGAAGAGATTTGAGTAGAACTCATGGATAATCTTCTCCATTGCCGTTCTGGAGGATGTGATAGATCCATCAGGATGTCGGAGGGCAGTCATCTTGGTCTTGTAGTTGGCGAAGGACAGGCAGGCATTATGAATACTTTTCCCGGCTTCTGCCATGTCTACCAGTACTTCTGCTCTTCTCTCTTTGAGGTCTTCCTTGATCGCATCTCTGCACTGCTTTGCGAGCTCGGACGTTTGCTTGCGGTTGTTTGAGGCATGCGCCAAACCACATAGTAGTGCTCTTCTTTTCAAATCAATTTCTGTATTCTATCACAGGACCTCAGGAATTAAATTCAGGCAGAGTACTTAGGAAATTTTTGTGTCTTTGTCCAGTTTTATTTTGGTGCCTGTAGAATTTTGTGGTCGTAAGTTTTTACTTGCAGAATCCTTCATATGCTGATCTGATGAGACTTTAGTGTTTATGTGGGTTTTTTTATTAATTTAATTTAAATATGTTATTGGTAAACAATTCACATACTTGAAATTCAGCATAATATGTTAATGTATCAAGTTTGATAAAAGTAATTAAATCCACAATCAAATTATAGGACATCATCAAAGTTATGACATAGAACACTTACTTTTCTTTCATTTGCTTATTTCCATGTGTTTTTTATTTTTTAAATATTTTTTGTTTATAAATAAACAAACAAAAATATAAAAAAACAAAAAATATTGTTTGAAAATAAAGAATATCTATTTTCATGAAGGTATTTTCATACCTTCCTATACCCAGGTTTCTGCAGATTAATATAAATGGAATTATGTGACATGTAGTTTTTGACTCTGATTTCTTTTGCTAAATATAAGCATATTATTGCATATATCTGCAATTTGTTATATTATTGCTGCGTAGTATTGCTGAAGAAATTATCAGTTTTTGAAAATTATCACTAAAACGTGTATAAACATTTGTATATAAGTAGCAATGAAGTATGTCTGTATCTATCTCTGGTAAATTCTGTGGGGCGGGGTAGTTGGTTAAAATAATAATTCTGTATTTATATCTAGTGTTAGACCATTTCCTGTTCACTTACTTTGGGTATAAAATTATGGATAACTTCATAATTTTGGGATTTCCAAGTGTTCTGAATTTTTTTCTAGGTTAAAATTTTCTGTATTGCTTTTGTTATTAGGGTTTTTTCTTCCTTTTTGGCAATCCTAGGAATTTAACCAAAGGGACATATGCAAAGAAATTTGATCATTTTTTAAAATTAATAGTCATTCTGGTGATCAGTTTTTAAAATTAATAGTCATTCTTGTATGTCCTAGTGTCTAGTTTATATTTTAATCTGCATTGTTTTTATAATAAAGTTGTTAAATATATTTGCTTGCCATTGTAAATCTTCATTGGTAAAACTCTTTGCACATTAAAACTGTGTATTTTGTATTCATTTTGAGATATGAAAAAGTTTAAAAATAATTTGAATGCAGCACAGCGGTAGGTATTTGCCTTGCACGTGGAGGACCCAGTTGGCCCAGGTCTGATTTCTGATTTTTTTTTATGCTTTAGCCAAGCAGAGGGGTTGAGTAATCATTTAAAAATATACCAAAGCATTCTATTCCTTGATTTAACAGTTCCCTAGCCAAAGATAGTGTAGAGGGTGGGGCAGAAATAGTACAGCAGGGAGACATGAGCCTGACAAGTTTCAATACCTACCATCAGGTATGCCTATACACCAGAAGAGACATGACTCCAAGTTGGTCCATGAGTGATCCCTGTTTACAGAGCCAGCAGTAATCCCTGAGCATAGCTGGGTGTGGGCCTCAAAAAAACTAAAATTATTTAACAATTACTGGAAATAATAACTAAAATTATTTTAAAGCAAAAATATTTAAGAACTACTGGAACATTTTTCAAAAATCACCTTGAGATATAGTTACAAAGTTGTTCATAATTGAGTTTCAATCATACAGTGTTCCAACACCCATGCCTTCACATTTCCCACTACCAAAGTCCCCAGTTTCCCTTGTGACACCCCCCAAACTGCCGCCCCCTCCCACAACCTACAGTACGGCAGATATTTTTCTTATTCTCTCTGTCTCCTTTCAGGCACTGTGATTTGAAATATTTTTACTGAAAGATTATCACGTACATCACTTTACCTCCTTTCTGCACTCTTTCAGAGAATATATGGCAAGGAGGAAGAGAATGTCCAAATCCAATTTTACAATAACATTTTGTTGCTGAGAAGGGGATACCCAAATTTGACTAGTTCATTCTAGCCTTTATGTCTAGGATAACATGAAAAGGAAAACTCAGAAATATTTATGAAGGTTTAGTTCAGAGACAGAGACTCATTAAAAGACTAAAAGTCCTAGTCATAGGGTTGTAGAATATAACTGTTTTTACATCACTGTATCACTGTATCACTGTCATCTCGTTGATCGTCGAGTTACTTGAGTGGGCACCAGTAACGTCTCTATCCCTCCCAGTCCTGAGATTTTAGCAGCCTCTTCTTACTTGTCTTTTCCCTATGATTGGAGGATCTTTCGGGGTCAGGGAAATGAACCTGTTATCGTTAACTGCATTTGGCATATCAAATACCCCACGGGGAGCTTGCCAGGCTCTGCTCGTGTGGGCAGGATAATCTCGGTAGCTTGTCGGGCTCTCCGATAGGTATATATTTATATTTTTATCTATATGATTTGTTGCCTACTGTCTGAATTCCATTTGATGTGGTGTAGTAATTATGGAAAATGGGTAGGAAGCGTCAAAATATACAGAAAAAAGCCTGAAGTGAG